CCTCTGAACTGCACTAACATCTTTCTAAACCAACTCTAAGCAGATTTCAGATTCATCTGATTTTATCTAGAACTCTTCTATATTGATCTGAAGATCCCTGAATTTCCTTCAGGCCTCTTAAACTCCTCCAGTGACATCTCAAACTCCTTGAATATGCACTGAGGTGCTCTAATACCATCAGACAGCTACAGAGCACCTCTGATGAGCTCTTGAAGAGCTGTTACTACACCCTCTAGATCACACCTTTTAAAATCATTTAACTGATTCTGAAACACTAGGGTGCTGCTAAACCAGCCTGGACTTACTTAAACAGCTACAGATGCACCGCACTGCTCTACAACACATCTAAACAGCTCCGAAACTCCTAATCGGCTATAAACAACGGTGAGAAGCTGTACGTTCCTCTAAAACCTTCAGTCTACCTCTCTGAAAATCCTCTAAATAACACTCATATCTAAAATCATCCACGCTGCTTTAAGCAGCAGTAAAATGCTTCAAAATAGGTCTCCAACCCCTCTCAGTCTCCTTGCAACTGCTCTAGAACTCCTTTCTGCAGTTCTGAAGCTCCTGTTTAGCGAAACAGCGCTAAGACTTCTCTGAAGTCCTCTAAAAGTGCTCTGAACAGCACTAAGGAGCTCCACACCACTCTAAATTGATCTAACTCCTAAAGCCCCTATAAACAGTTCTAAGCAGCTCTAAAATCCTGTAAAGTGTGCCAAAATTCCTGTAAAGTACTCTAAACAACTGCAAACTCCTTTATCTCTTCTAAATCTCTTCTAAAAACCTCAGAGCACCTCTAAACTGATCTAAAGCTCCTCTGTGTTGCTATAAGCAGCACTAATGTGTCTCTAAATACATCTAAAATGCCTCTAAATCTCTGCTGTAGAACTCAAAAAACTCCTCTACACAGCTCTAAAATTCCTGTAAAGAGCTCTGAGCAGCTCTGAAACCATTCTAGACTGATCTGTAACTGCTACAAACTGTTCTGAGCAGCTCTAAACCACTTCAAGCTACTGTAAAACTTCTCTCATGTGCTGTCCACAATGCCAAGTAGCTCTAAAACGCTCTTAAAATACTCAGAAAATCTTCTGAACTTTCTCTGAATGGCTCTACAGAGCACTGAGTTGTTTCTGAGGCTCCTGAAATACAGTTATTCTGGGGCTGGTGCGGCTTAACCTCTTCCTTAATGACCTGAGTGATGGAGCAGAGAGCACCCTCAGCAAGTCTGAGCTGGGATGAGTGGCTCACGGACTGGCCGGGTGCGCTGCCGTCCAGAGGGACCTCAACAGGCTGGAGAAACGGGCCAGCGGGAACCGCAAGAGGTTCAGCAAAGGGAAGTGTAAAGTCCTGCTCCTGGGGAGGAACAGCTCCAGGCACCAGTACGTGCTGGGGACCAGCCGGCTGAAAAACAGCTTGGCTGGAGAGGACCTGGGGGTGCTGGTGGGCTGAACATGAACCAGCAGTGTGACCCTGCAGTATCCTGTGCTAGGAAGCGAGTTGCCAGTGGGTTGAGGAGGACATCCTTCCCCTCTGCTCACCTCTGGGGTGTGAGGCTCCCCGGTTAAGGGAAGACATGGACTTCATAGAGCGAGTCCAGTGAAAGAGCCTCAAAGATGATCGAGAGATTGGAGAATCTGCATTGTGAGGGGAGGCTGGGAGAGCTGGGGCTGTTCAGCATGGAAAAGGAAAAAATACTCATGGGGTGGAAGAGCATAGAGAAGAGGGGATTTCTGGCAGAACATGATGAGCCTCAAAGAAAAAAATACGTGTTTTCTGTGAGAACCTGTTAATAAAGCCAAACTCCTGAGAATCATAGAATCATACAATCATTAAGGTTGGAAAAGACCTCTAAGATCATCAAGTCCAAGCATCACCCCAACACCACAATGCCTGCTAAACCATGTCCCGAAGTGCCGCATCTGCACGTTTTTTTGAACCTGTCCAGGGATGGTGACTCCACCACTGCCCTGGGCAGCCTGCTCCAATGCCTGACCACTCTTTCAGTAAGGAAATTTTTCCTAATGTCCAATCTAAACCTCCCCTGATGCAACTTGAGGCACACTTGAGAAAGTGATGACTGCATGTGAACAGCCCACAGTGAGCATATTTTGGAGTGGAGGAGGAATACCATGAACCCAAACTCCTGAGATTTTTGTGTGACTACATGAAAAATGTGCTCTCGGAGCACAGAACAGCGGGGGATTGTTCTCTCTACTGCAGGCACTGGACGCTCTCAAAACGCGCTCTGATGGAAGATCCGAAAGTGCGTGCTGAAGGCAGAATGTTTTATTGCACCTGTTTTATGGGTGGGTGTCGAAAGCCCAAATGGTTTTCCCCAGGAAGCAAAGCAAGCCCACAGGAGAGCCCCAAGCTGCAGGTGTTGAGGTGTATTCAAGAAAGACTGACTGGAATCTTTTTGGTAGTAAAAGAACTGCAAATTAGAGGCACTGCCCCCCACCACAGTGGGCATCCATCGGAGACGATGATTACCTGCATAGCCTGCAGCTAGATAACCATGGCAAGGAACAGAAGAGCTAATTACGACTTCTTAGGGAGACTGAGGCACAGAGATCGATGGCTGGCTCGTTTCTTCAGTGCCACAATTTTTAAGTTAGATGCTCGGGACGGGTTTGAGACCCCGAGGGTGAAATGTGCGCATTCGTCACTTGGAAGAAGTGCAGAGACGTCAGGTGAGCTGGAATGATGCTGAGCGCGTTGGACGTGTGGCATTTTGTTTTACAGTAATGATAGTATTTTCATGCTTACCCTCAAGTTACTGAGCTGTAATTTTAGGTTTCATCTGCAGCTGCACCTTTGGTTTCATCTGGGAACAGAGAAAAGATGAAATTTGACTAATCAGTGTGGGAAAAAAAAAATAGTATTTTAATCAGAGATGCTCTTTATCGGCGTTCCCAGGCCTCAGCAAGCTTTTGCCATGCCCTCTGGCGCCGATTCCCTTTACGAGAAGGAAGCAAAAAGAGAACCCCTTTTTTTTTCCAGCAGCGACTTGTGCCTGGGCAGAGATCCCCACCGAGATCCGTGGAGCTGTTGGCCAAACGCTCCCACGTCTCTGGTGCCACGCCTCGGCCACAACCCCCCGCTGTGTCCCCACACGCGCAGGCAGCTCGCTCCCTCCTTCCACGCGGCGTTTGGCGAGTTGGTGGGCGGCAGTTGACAGTTCAGAGCAGCTTTAGCCTTTCGACATGGCTTGGGGAGTGTGGGCTGCGGGAGGCAGAGGTGGGTGGGGGGCACGGTGAGGCGATGGCGGTGATGGCGTGAGGCGATGGCGGCCATGGCGCCTCCTCCACACGCCTCCTGCCCGCTGT